TCCCTTCTCTTCTCCTCTCTTCCTCCCTTCTCTTCTCCTCTCTTCCTCCCTTCTCTTCTCCTCTCTTCCTCCCTTCTCTTCTCCTCTCTTCCTCCTTCTCTTCTCCCTCTCTTCCTCCCTTCTTATCTCCCTTTTTACTTCTTTCTACCTCCTATAACCCCTCCAACTTCATTCCTCCTTCTTCTCTCAATATATCTACCATACCCTCCCATTTATACACACTCCCTTCTCCTTTCCACTTCTTACTTCCCTCTTCTTTCTCTTCTCCTTTTCCTTCTTCTCATTCCTCTCCTCTTTTACTTCCCTTCCCACTTCCCATTTCTCTACCTCATTTCTTCTATCTCATTTCTCATCCCTTCTTATCCCTTCTTATCCCTTCTTATCCCTTCTTATCCCTTCTTATCCCTCCCTTTTCCTCTCTACCTTCCTACTTCCTCCTACTCTCCCTTCTTAACTCCTCCTTCTCACTTCTCCCATTACAACGCTCTTCATACCCATTATACACTTCACATCCATTATACCCTTCCTATTAATCATACTCCTATCCATTCCTATTCATCATACTCCTATCATTAATATACACATCTTTCCCACTTCTTCTTCTTACTGCTCTCTTTTTTCACCCCACGTCTCCTTTTTACTTCTCCCTTCTCCTTTCCACTTTCCTTCTTCTTATTCCTCCTTCTTATTCCTCCTTCTCATTCCTCCTTCTTATTCCTCCTTCTCATTCCTCCTTCTCATTCCTCCTACCTTTTACTTCTCCTCTCCTTCCTCCCTTCTATCTATTAAACCTTTCAATCTATATACTCGTCCTATCCCATATACTCTTCCCATTAATTACACTCCTCCTATCTATTAAAGCCTTTAATCTATCATACTCTTCCATTGATTATTCTCCTCCTATTCATTATACTCCTCCTATCCATCATACTCCTCCCATCTATTATGCTTCTCCCATCCATCATACTCTTCCTATCTATTATACTCTTCTCATTCCTCCCCTCTTTCTCTTTTTCCTTCTTCTTATTCATCCCTCTTTCGTTCTTCCTCTCTTTCATACCTTCCATCTTTTATTCTTCTCCTCCTTTCTTCTCCTTCTCTTTTCTCCCTTCTCCTCTCCTCATACAACCCTCTTACTTCCTTCACTTTTCTCCTTCTACTCTCCTTATACAACCCTCTTACTTCTCCTTCCCCTTCTCCCCTCTTCCTCCCCTCTTCTTATCTTTCTACTTCTCTCTCCCCACTTCTCTCCTTTCTCTTTCCCTCTATAAAACCCTTCAATCCATTATACGCTTCCTATTAATACACCAAACGCTTCCCTCAATACACCACACGCTTCCTTCAATTCATTATACGCTTCCTTCAATTCATTACACGCTTCTCTCAATCCATTGCACACTTCCATCCACACGCTTCCCTTAACACACTTCCTTTAATACACCATACGCCTTCTTCTATATGCTTCCTTCAATACACCATATGCTTTCTACTATACCTCTCCCATTAACATACCACACGCTTTCTTTCTTCTTAATTCCTACTACCTGTTTCTCCCTTCTTACCTCTTCGCTACGTCTCTTCCTACTTCTAGCTTCTTCCTTTATTCCTTCCTTCCTACTTCCTACTTCTGCCTTTTTACTTTTTACTTTATCCTACTTCCTTCTCCCTTCCTGCTACGTCCTCTTCCCTTCCTACTACTTCCTCCTTCTCTTTTCTCCCTTCTTCCCTCCGTGCTTCTCCCTTTTTACTTTTTACTTTATCCTACCTCCTTCTCCCTTCCTTCTCCTTCTCCCTTTCTCCTTCTCCCTTCCTTCTCCTTCTTTCTCCTTCTCCCTTTCTCCTTCTCCTTCTCTCCTTCTCCTTCTACCATTCTCCCTTTCTCCTTCTCCTTCTCTCCTTCTCCTTCTACCATTCTCCCTTTCTCCTTCTCCTTTTCTCCTTCTCCCTTTCTCCTACTCCTTCTCTCCTTCTCCTTCTACCATTCCCCTTCTCTCCCTCTCCCTTTCTCCTTCTCCTTCTCTCCTTCTCCTTTTCTCCTACTCCTTCTCTCCTTCTCCTTCTCCCCTTCTCCTTCTCCTTTTCTCCTACTCCTTCTCTCCTTCTCCTTCTCCCCTTCTCCTTCTCTCCTTCTCCCTTTCTCCTTCTCCTTCTCTCCTTCTCCCTTTCTCCTTCTCCTTCTCTCCTTCTCCTTCTCCCCTTCTCCTTCTCCCTTTCTCCTCCTCCTTCTTCCATCTTCTTTCCTACTTTTTACCTCTCTCTCCTACTTCCTTCCCCCGTTCCCTCTCTTCCTATATACTTTCTCCTACTCTATTCCTCCTTTTCTCCTCCTCCCCTCTTCCTTTACTCTTCTATCCACATTTTCCCTTTCTCGTTCTTACTTCCTACTTCCTACTTCTACTTTATTCCTCCGTCTCATTATTTATCGCCTTTCTCCATTCTTTATTCTTAATTCTCCCTCTAACTTCTCCCTCTTCTTCCCTTCTTGTAACTCTTAACTCGTTCGTTGTGGCTGTCCATCTTCCCTCGATCTCGTCGTCGTGGATGTCCATCTTCCCTCGATCTCGTCGTCGTGGCTGTCCATCTTCCCTCGATCTCGTCGT